CGGAAGCGTAACATCGTAAAATTCGAAATCGCGTGCAACGCGAATATTTAAATCTCTGCCTGCTGTAAAGTGTAATTCAACGTGATTTCACGATCGAACAGAGGAATTGTAATAATGCGACGTGAAATTTAAACGGAAACGATCTGCCAACTCGGTCACCGGTTCTCTCCAGAGATATTGCGAACAACGACGTTTCAAAGACGACGGGACGTGGTTAGTTGCGAAATTAAATAGGGACCATCAATTTCGGGAACGGAGAACACTCGCGTTGTTCCTCAATTCTTCGAAAATGCTTGCTCACGGCGTTCTTTGTCAGCAAGCAAAATCGAGTCGGGGAACCATTGTCGTTAAACGTCGCGATTCCTTTCTCCTTTTCTTCTGGTTTTCTTCGCCACGACGGACGAAAGGGCGACGTGATTCCAACTCGTGTCTCTTAGGTCCAATGACACGCGGTACGATAAGCGGGACGCTGATATCCAGACAGAAAGACAAGCTATCTATCGCGCGAGTCTCTTGCACGAAGGTGGAACTACCTGGGGAGAAACGAGAGATAGAGAGAGAGAGAGAAAGAGAGAGAGAGAAAAGCGCAGAGGCGATAGAGTCCCCCGAATGCAATGCGATGCCTATCGATCGGCCGCCATGTGTGAAATAACTCAAATAACGCACACGCCGACTCGCGTACACCCACGGACTCCTGCACGCCACTCCACTCCTGACAGAAACGTTCTTTCTCGCGAGCTCGGATATTCCGGCAGACAAGGGCAACCTCTCTCGGGCTTGACGACAGAGGATCGAGCAAGATAAGAGCAAGCGGAAGTGGAAGTAACGCGCGCGCCGGATTTTTATCCAGAATCCGACGATCATCTCGCTGATGAATACGCAGTTTTCATGAATACCGTATGAGATTTGTCAGAACGCGCGCGTCTTCTTCAGTACGGGCGCAACGCCCCGAGATACGATCTCGCCGGAAGATCGAAACGTCAAGCCGTTTCGTCTTTCGCCGGCGGATTTTTACAAGTCGGACGTCCTCGGAACCGTGGCGAAAATTTGATCGCCGCATATTATTTATGACTTGTCGGGTTCGAGATGAGAAAATAACGGCTGGCTCCGGGGGCAGCAGAAAAATGCGATCGAGACCGAGGCTGAGACCGATTTCCCAGGCTGTTTTTAACTCATTTCGATCGTGCGCTTCGTCGTTACCATCTCCTCCGTCGAAATATTTACGACGTGGCAACTTTCGCGGCGAGGTCTCTCATTTTTCGTGAGTGAAAATTCGAGGATCGTCAATTTAAAACTTTAGAGCAAGCAAGAGAAACTCAATTAACCCCTCCCCTTTTCTTTCGATGATCGAGATTCAAACGTCTCAATTTCGTTTATACACTCATTGTATTGTATCCATCGTACAGATTTCCTTGCGTGAAGATAAAGAGCTCGCAGCGTGCACCTCGTTCACGCATCGTTTCGACATCACTTCGAACGCGGCGCGCGTCAATCCCGCCTGCGAAAGGATTAGCGCGTCGCGGCCGTTGTAAAAGCCGCGTACCGATTTCATTTTATCGCGACGCTGTCATCGGCGAATTACCGCGTAAACCGGCCGCCAGCCGGGCCGCCGCTCGAGTGGATATTACGCTGGATCTGCAATAACTGTAAGCGTTTCGGGATTTATATCGTTTCATCCTCGTGTAACCACCATATTGGCCGCTGCTTCGGAGTTGCTAAGCCCCTTGCCATTCGCCCAGCGCCGAACAATATCCGGCTAACTTATATTCGAAATGTTGCAGCTCGCCGCTGCCCTGCAGCCCCCGATCCGCTTGCTCGCCCGCCGCGCCTCCTCTCTTCTGGCCAACGCCGATCGACTCGAGCCGCCGATGCACTGAAAATATTGTAACCGGTTCCCACTTTCCTCTCATTCAATATCAGCCTCGTTATTTACGGCATGTATTATCCGGCGAGAAATATGACACAACCGACGCCGCTTGTCGCGGTAGATTACCAGCCGTGCTCGCGGAGTCGCTTTACGACGGACGCTGCCTTCGACTGGTGGCCACGTGCTGTAGCCGTTTCGCTCCTTGCCGAGTTATTGCGGTTCAGCCCGCGGAAGTGTATCACGAATTGAAATAAAGTAGAACGGCCGTCACTTTGAAATACTCGGCTCCACGATATATCGAGGTGGTTCTCTCGTACACCTTGCCTCGTGGATGGATATTGGAAACAGAATCGTTTCTCTATAAATAGAAATACGCACCGACTTGGTACGCTGCGTATTTCTCCGACTGCACTTTTCTTCTCTTCCTTGCCTTCCTGCCTCGGCTCCTTCTAAAACCGTTCCGTCACGCGAGATACTCGTTATACTAAGAGAGAGAAAGCCGATCGGCGGTTTCACTCGGCAACCGTAACTCGGGAGGGGTGCAAATCGCGGTTTCCATCGGGAAGCGACGTATTCGAGGCTAGCGAGAACGCGGTAGCCAAGGTGAAAAGAGTCGACGGAACGGTCGTTGAATCGTGGCCAGATCGTGGGAGGGAAGACGACTGGTTTTCGGTAGTCTGCCAGAGGTTTTCGCCGTACGCGAGGTCTTCCCTCCATCCTCTGGCTCGTTTCGTTCGGCTCCTCCTTCATCCTCTGCGCGTTCTCGCCGCATCCATTCGTGTGCATCTCTCTCTCTCTCTCTTTCTCTCTCTCTCTCTCTCTCAATTCCGTCTCTTCTGCATCTCCTCGCAGCGCTGGCTTCATCCCTTTCGTCGCTTCTGTCCGCCTACTCGCGAAACGATAAATTTCCCGGCTTTAAATCCCAGTCGCGGTACCGACCATCTCCACGACCGCGGCCACCGAGCCGATTCTACAACATACAGCGCGTGTATACGGCGTCGTGAACGGACGTACCCGTTTGTACCGACTTCGCGTGCCTTGTTTACCGGCCCGACGACGTATTTATGAGGCTCACGCACACCTCCGCCCCGATCCAATCTCGATATTCGCGTCACTCCCCCCTCCCCCGCCCTTTCGCGCCATTCTCCGTCTTTCTCCAAACCGTCATGCTTTCCCTTTGATTCATCCGTTCTCTTCTTCCTTCGTCGCGTTTCTGCTTCATCTTTCGAGTCCTCGATTCTCGCGGTTGAAGCTCTCGCTGTTTTGCGCGCAGCTTCAACCGGGAGAAAGTTCGATTAGACTGGCTTCGATGTTTCACTTTAACGTTTCGTTTTTGGTTGGTAGCATATTTAAGGATTATATATATGTAATCTGTATTTATCACTCTTGAGTTTGAAAGCTTAAAATTGATAATTCAAATTCACATTTCCGTGGAACTACAATTTGCTTTCCCTTTCAAATCGTCACTTCTGCCACGAGCGTTATAACTCGGTGTTGTAACTAAAAAGGGTTGAGAGTCTAATGACGCCGTCTGACGTGTAGAGAAATATTCTTTTCCTCAGTTCCGGAGAGTAGTTTTTATCAGGGAATTCCGTCGAATCGCCTTAAAATTTCTTTGGCTCTGCAATTCCACGTTGAAGATTATAGGTAATACGGGATTATCTGGTAAACCTTTCTAGGTACGTCGCGAGTAATGGTCATTAATTATGACATCGTCCTGCCGTCGGAGAAAGGATAAGCAAATTAACGCGTCAGAGTCACATCCTGCGTTTAGGACTCCCCTTCGGGATAAATTTACCGAGCTCTGGCGGAAGCTCCTCCTCGACGACGCTGGACCAGCTTGGGGCGGAACTTCCTCGTATGCCCGTGTTCCGGTCCCGATAAGAGCCCGCGTCGCTTAATTAATTCTCACCAGCAATTTTCTTCCTCTACCTTGTCCAATATTTCCCTCTCGAACGAAATCTGGCGAAATCGCGAATTCTTTTTCAATGCCATTCCAAAAACAAACGTTCTCTCTCTCTCTCTCTCTCTCTCTCTCTCTAGCTAAATCATCGAGACACTCGTCGAATAACTGCGTCGAAATTCTATTGCGATCGTCGTTTCGATTCATGGTGGATACTTGCGACGGAAAGTTTATTATGGAACCGTAAATGGGATAGGCCGTATCCCATATGGCGTGACCCTTTGTGCGCGGCACAGACACCAGTGTCGATTCGATACTCTGGTCACGAATCGTGGATAAGAGTCGACGTGTCGCGATCGAACGCGCGAAATTTACGAACGACGCGATCGATCTCTGCCCGCGCGTAATTGCATGATCATATCGAAAGGCCGAAGAAGTCTCCCTTTCGAAGCTGAAGTTCATCCACACATCGTCGAGATGAACGTCTCCCGAGAACATGAAACGTTTCCTTTCCAGTCGCGTATCACAGATTGAAGTTTCAACGCTTCGATGTCCGATTCTGAATACTATCACTGACTTGATGACCACAGGGTGATACCACTGAGAAACTGAAAATCCATTAATTATATTTCCAAATAAAATAATAAAAAATTGAAAAGACATGTGTTTGTAAAAGTTATTTTTATTTAATATCATTGGGTCTTTCAGTGACCACCCTGTACGTCGAACGATGTACGCGAAAAATGCTCCTGATTGCTCGACAATTGAATTATCGCGCGAGAAAGATGCAAAGGTGATTCGAAGTAACGAAGATTTGTAAATCGGTTCTTTTTCAACATCGTCAATCTTCGCTGAATATTTCAAGCGATTTTGAAAGCACAGGCACGCCATCGTCGTAAAGCAGAAAAGATACCGGGCGAAGAAGGTTCCGTTAATATTGCATTGTATAAAAGATACAAGACGAAAATGGCGTCTAAAGTACACTTTTACAAGCCTCAATAAGCGGCACATTTTTTTTTTTCGCGTCACTTTGCCGACGCTATTGGCGTAACTCAAGCGCCTACAACCAGCAGACAATTTTTCGGAACTTGGCTCGATCGTACGCGGCGTTGAACGTAAGAGGAGAAGACAACAGAGCTCGGACGATCGAAACAGTCGAGCAACGATTCACACACCGTTCACATCCAGGTTTCATCTCGGCTCGTTCATTCAAATTCCATCGGATCCACGATGACAGCACCGGCGGTAGGGATTGACTTGGGCACCACCTATTCGTGCGTTGGAGTGTTCCTCAATGGAAAGGTCGAGATCATTGCCAACGACCAAGGAAATCGGACTACGCCGAGCTACGTCGCGTTTAACGACGCGGAGAGGTTAATCGGCGATGCAGCCAAGAACCAAGTAGCTATGAACCCCACGAACACGATCTTTGGTAGGCTTGTTTGCGTAACAATCGCATCGAGAATTTAACCCTCGATCTTTCGTTTCTCTTATTCTCGCGACTCAGCAGAGGTACTCAAATGTCAAAGCCTCGAAAAAAGGCTTTCCAGACTTTGGATTGTTGTAACGAAATTACAACGATCCAGGTTCCTCTATGGCTGATAAGCTGAGAAGCTCGAAAAAAAGCTACGAAAAGTCGACCGAGTTTTCTCTCTCTAAAAGGAAAAGAAAACAGAAGAGAATTAAGAGATATTTCTCGGTCGGTCGAGAAGGCAAAATCGAAAACGTATAGCGTTGAACGCGAGCTGAATTTTTGATAATCACGCTGGCAAGGTCCGCCGAGTTGGCAGCGTAGCTAGGATCCCAGGAATCACCGTCATTTCCGGGTTTCGGGGCTGGTTTCCGGCTGCAGTAGCTGGCCCGCGGAAAGAAACGCGGCCGGAAACCAGTTCAACGTCGAGAACGCTCTCGTTTCGTGGCTGCCAAATCGACTTACCGTTTCGAGATCTATAGTCGATATAGAGTCGGTGCGGACGAGCACGGAATTCCACCGCTACCGAGAAATTCGCTCGAAAAGTTTCGAAGCTGTGCGATAACGGGCGATCGTTCTCGCGATCCTTTCCGTTTCTCGATCATGCGCCAATTGCACGATCGCCGCTGCCAGCGATCGCTCGAATCGATGACTAAGGCAGGCAAGGTAAATGAAATCGTCCGACAGACGCGAAGAGGCTGATTGGCAGACGTTATGACGATCCATCAGTGCAAGCTGACATGAAACAGTGGCCGTTCACCGTGGTTAACGACGGAGGAAAACCGAAAATCCGAGTCCGATACAAGGTGAGCTGGCCAACGTTTAACGTGGCCTGACGTCCAACCGCGTGAACATCCACGAG